ATAATATTTGGTTTTTCCCTTGGTTTTTTCCGGTTCTAAGATATCTAGGTCGTCGTATTTTTTGCTTTGACGACAATAAAATACTCCTACCATAGGCGACACTTGGTAGAAACTTATGTGGGTGCAAACGTTTATGATGGTAATAACTAATAACATTCATAAATCCATAGGGAAGTTGCCCCCCAGTACCCCCTAATATATTACTATTGCTACAACAAATGTAGTTAAAAAAAATTATTTATTAATAACTATTAATTGGGTCTCTGTATTTCAAATATGTACATGAATATATGTAAAAATATTATTAAAAAACAACTTTTTATTTTGTAAATATATTATTATATTATTATTATTATTATTATTTTAACATTTAATCACGGATTAAGATTTTAATCCGTACAATTAATTGAGTAATCAGAAATAAAATATTGAAATGATCCATAGTGATTTTTTATTATCAAAATTACACTTTTTGAAATAATGAGTGGTTCATGATAAAAAAATTACCCTGTATATAACAAATTAAATTTAAAAAAATATAACGTGTAATCGCTGCGTTACTTCTTTTTTTCATATAGCGCATGTCATGTTTATTATAATTGATATTCTTATTGTAAACAATGTTACAGATTGTATATATGAAATTGAAAAATGTGTATATTAAAATATAAAAGATTCTATAAATTAGATAGGTATTAAAAATCCACTAAATATTATACATCTATACTAATTTTGCATTAAAATTATTATAAAAAAATAAAAAGTAGGTTTTTTAATAAAAAAGGATATTATGGATACACAATAAAATAAAAGTTGTTCGATAATAAATTATTGATAAGTGTTCCGTTTGGTTTATGGGCCTACATACTCTAATTAATTTATTGATGATAATTTACGAAATTATGACAGTACGACTAAACCGTCGAACGCATAAGAAGTTGCCTATAAATTGTTCCTTAAAATCCAAATACCGCAAGGTCCATAACATAAATAATATTCTCATCCCCATTCGGTCATATTTCTAAAAATATTTATGACGATTATGATTTAGTTTAATAAATATGTATTAAAACTGAGAAAATAATTTACTTAAAAAAATTGTGTGGGTAACCAATTTAGGTATTAATTAAATCTCAGACATTTTATTTTATTTCTGGATATTCTCACTTTAGTGCCATGTAAAAAATAAAAAAAACAAAAACAATGCAGTTTCCAAAAATGCATTACTTGTTACCTAATACTATATACAATCTATAGCGTGTACTACGATTGTTTTATCGATCGATGATGTTTGCCGTCGTTCACTTTGTATGTGAAATCGAATATACGTAAATATCTCACAGCGGGTGTTGCACGACCCATTGAATAGATTGTTTCGACAATTCGATACGATGTCTTTGGTAGTTTACTCAGGTATTTGCTGTAATGGCGGTGAGAGAAAAAGGACTTTTTAGTTTATACGCAATTATTTGGACTGAGAATGCCATTCGAGTCCATTATCTAGTTAATGGCAGTCGGTGGATCGTGGGTGGTGGCGAGGATAATTTATGTGTTAACCAAAGAAGCGACTGCAAATGATCGAACTAATGACGGTGGTGTCATTATAGCGAAGCCGTGCGTAAAACATCTGTCTGACCTACATTCACTTTGGAGTATATGTTTGCATGTGCGTGCGCCTAAAAGGTTATTATAATATTACATAAATATTATGCTTCTCTCGTATAATATTATTATTAATTAATAACGATGTACCCACTCAATATTTTTAATATTGTTATACCAACGCTGGTCGTGATATATGATAATGAAGCTAAGTACAATAAGGGCAGATATATTGTAATATGTGCTTGCTCACTATACAATGTTGGTACCTATATTAATTATTATCAGCTCATAATAAAGTAATATTGTTTCTAAAATTTGAACGATTCGTGTTCTTATTTTTCTATAATTATTTGATATGTTTAATTATACATACGAATGGCTGCACCAACACTCATACTCATCATCAAGTGGAATCTCGATAACTCGCATTTTTTTTTGCCCCGGACCGATTCGAGTTATTGAGGTTTCTATCTCCTATGTAATAATTTATTATAAATCATTTTAAAAACAATTTATGTATCGTCATAATGATACTTTATACTATTGAAGTATATTTTTGGGATTGGCTGCTCAACCGAATAAATCCAAAAACGATATTATTATTCTATTATAGACATTTTAAGTTTTTTCTAATTATGTTTTGGTTATAAAACATGTATTTAGCCTAAAAGCGTTTTTTTCAGATTTTATTTTTAATTGGGAATTCAATTTTTAAGGTTTAAAAATGGTACCAATAGTTGAATATAAGCATTATTCTAACTATAGTTTTACAATACTATTCGTGACTGCGGGTGTTAGGTAGGTATTCATTATACTCATACATCACCTYGGTGCTGTTGTATTACTTGTATCTTTTATATTTCCATTTTGATGCAATAATAAGTTATCGAGTTTTTAGCGAAGGTCAGTTTGCAATATGGTTATACAAATTCAAATTGCATGTAAAAACATGTTAAAATTGCTTAAAGTAGTGAATAACTGTCTAGAAATTGAACTGTATAAAATACATTTTTTGAAAGATTTAATAAAAAATAAAGTTAATGATACAGATAATTTTGTTTTAAATCCTGGATGTAGCAATCTATGTTTAGTTTTACCATGATGTGCGCATCTACGTCACATTTAGAAACAGTATAAAAGTTTTAATCTTAATTTATAAGAGTATTTTCTGTGAAAAATCCCAATACTTTTCAAAATAAATGAGAAAAAAATGAGGTTAATGAAATACCAGTTTTTGACTAAATCGATTTAGTTATTTTTCGTCGCAATACTAAAATGATTAAATGTAAGTCTTTGAATTTTCACTAAATATTTATGTTAGCATTTAATAGAAATGATATAATTCCCAATGTATTTTGGCTCTTTTATAATAGTATTTATAAATATTTTTAATGTTCTACTTTTAAAGTGTATTTGTTGGTAAAAATTGTGGAAGGATAAAAACTTGAAATATTAAATATGGTTTATCTTTAGTTATTTTTATAGAAATTAAAAAATATTAAAAATAAATAAATTCATGATTTACTTTTATAAGCGTTTAAAGTTCAAAATATTTTTATTTTTGAATATACGACTGGAAAATGTAAATGAAGTTCTTCGCCTTCCTCATTAGCTGTTTTTATTTTTACAGAATTAAAAAAAAAAATATTTGTTAATTTCGTTTGATAGTTTTTTTTTAAAGTAGGTACTTACAAATTTTACAAAATTGTATATTCAAACGTAAGAACAGCTTTTAAAATTTTTTGTATTTATATGTTGTACTTTATTAAAAAAATATATATATTATAAATCAACAAATTGTATATTTTTTTCTTGGCAAAAAAAATTGAAATTATAATGCAAGGTTCTTTGTAGGTTGTTCTTTTAACAACAGTTTTATTCAAGGTGTACAATATTACAAAAAAATATATAAAACGATTTTGTTAAAACTAGTATTCTCTACTATAAATTTCAACATTTTGTATGTAGAAAAACTACGTATAGCCATTTAGAAAAACTTTGCACTATATTTGAGAAAATTATATCTCTTAAATAATAACTTCGAAACTTTTTAAATATAAAAAATTCCTTTATGAAGCTTTTGGAGTGTTGCACAAAAATGTTTTCAMTTAATCTATGCATAGTTATAAGTTATAAGTTATAACTAAGTAAAAATGCCTATATTATAAAAAGTTAATTAAAAATACATTTTTCCCAAAAATTTTTTTTTTTATTATCAGTAGGGTGTTTGTTGTTGCAATTTTGATGACAATTATTGAACCCCCAATTTTAACTATTCATCAATAGGTAGGACTTACATATATTATAAATTATAATATGCATTTAAACATTTTAACTTGAGATAAATGAACAAATTGCATTCTAAAAAATGTCTGCGTACTATTTGTTTTCTCTCGCAACATGGTATACCTATTTGCGTTCGACAGAATCATTACAACCAATCTTGTGATGGTATTTTGTAATATTAGAGTGATATATTGACTTTTTATCAAACTTAAAGTTAAGAACATTGTTTTTATTTGTATGATGGATTTTTTACGATATTTCAATTTTTATGCAAATTATGATGAGTACCTATGTAAAACGTTACAATTTAAAAATGCTCACGCTCATCCGCTTTAAAATTAAAAAGTTGTAAAAAAAAAGTCAATATGTATAAGTTCAGAAAACGCTAATGGCTTTAAGTTAATAATTAATATTAATAATAGGTCAATTTACTCAAATATTAATGCTAATAACACAAKACTGATTCTGCTGAATTCAAATTTGCTTCCTACATGTCACTCGTGGTCAAAGAAAGAAATAATACAGCTTGTACTGTCCTGGCTGTTGACATCCTTGCTCAATGCTCTTACAATACATCGATTAATACCATTTGACATACCTAGTTATTATTATCAGAAATTAAAGAATTTTATATTTTGATGTTTGGATCTACAAAAAGTGTATTTTAAATGTAATTATTGTAAATGTTTAAAAACTAAGGTGTATGAAGTATAAAATATATAATGCACTACATATTCAGCCTCTTCAACTTTGCACAATAATTGAAGTTTGTTTACGCATATTGACTTTTGTACTGGTACCGCGCTAGTCGATAAACGATTTTTGAACGATAAAATCGTGAGAAAAACATTCTGGTTCGGAAAATTAAAATGTTATGACTTATGAAATTAAAAACGTATGTGTACCTAGTTGTTTCAAATAAATAAATAAATAAATAGAAATTGTACACGATACGTATTTACTATGTTTTACCGTTGAAAATAATTTTCATGTTGTTTTGTATTTTGGTGAATAGTGATAATAATATGATCACACCAACACTAGCGGCAACGCTACGTGTTGGTGGTACTCAACGTATGATATTAATGTCATTATGGTGTGTAAAACAGGAGTGGGACGTGGAAAAAGGTTTGCCGAGAGGAGTCGCTGCAGGTCTGAGCGGCGGCGGCGACGACGACGACGACGACGACGACCATCACCTCGGCGGCTGCAACCCGAACGCCCTAAAAGCCGACAATTGTTGCGACAACGCTGTCACGGAGGTGATCGACGGCGTTCACGGCAAACAGCAACAGCAGCAGCGAATCGGCGGCGGTGACGACAGTAAAAGTACTACCGGTGGTGGCGGCTCCGGCGGTGGCAGAGTACGCGGAGTGGTGTGTGCTGCGGTAAAAGTCATCGTCGTCGCAGCAGCGTTCACTGTGACGTGCGCGTTTGTATGGTACACTATGGGCCTGCCGTTCCTGTTGCAAGTCGTCGTGGTAGCGACCATCGCGTTTGTCGCCAGCGGTGGTTATAAATTCGTCTACCTGGTGTACCGCACCGCACCCAGGGACTTAAGGTCAGTTATTACTTTTGTTATCGTCTACATTGTTATGCATTTATGATTATCATCCTTTCCACGCGTGCAGCACGTCGCCGACGACGTCGTAGTTATTATAATCACACTAATATTAGTATGTAATTACATAYTATTGATATTGTTATTACTGTCTACCATAGGCGTGAGTCTGTAGTAGGCCAATAATCGCGGTGTGGTGAGGATGGGTGAGAAAGGGGAGGCTGGAGTCCCTCAGACATATTTTGATAGTAAAACACCGGGACGTATGGGGACAGTGTCAGACTCGTACGATTTTTAGTCACACCATTCCTATTGGTTTAAATCGTGCAAAGGTATGTTTAAAATTGAATAACTAAAATCGAAATAAACTCTTCCACATGCAGGGAAGTACTATGCCCAAGGACCTCGGGTTTGCAGTTATCGTTTTACATTCGTACCCGATGACGATGTCATTATTAATAATTATAATTGTTATGATTAATTATGATAACTGATTGGCGTAACTCTGCACGCTTTTAATATTGATGGAAGCTAGGGAGGGGGGATCTGGAGTCCTGAAATAGTATTTTATGGTAGCTTACAACGTGTAATAGATATTTTGTAAGTCGGATGGCAAACATTTAGTTAACACTATATGTATAATACATGTTTTGCCAAGAAATGTTGAGTCTGCTTTAAATAATTCTTAAGTTACGCCTATTTTGATGATTTTAAATAAACAAAGAAATATCATACATATTCACAAAATCATCACAATATGTGTTGTAATAATAATGGGCACACAGCACAATAATATTATTGCATAAAAAAACGCCGCTGCGAGTAGATTGTTATTACGATTAAAATAATAATCATAGCGCACATTCAAAACGAATAGATTTATTATTATTATTTATTATCATCGGAGACCGGAGTCGTATATCGCCGCCGGACGTGTGTCGTTTTAATACATTCTTGACGACTACGGTCGTGTTTTCGCGACAAATCGTTTTCCTAAAATGTTGTTAATCAGACCTACGTCGTATTTACGTATCCAACGTATTCGTTCAATGAAAGCCCGTCGATCACGTAGCGTAATAATATCATGTTGTGCAAATGACCACACAAACTATAATATTAATCTTAACGATAAAAAAAATTATTTAAAAAATTTAAATATTGGTTTTTGATTAATTTAACATTTGCCGCACGGTGGTGCGGAGGGGAGGTAGTCGGACTCGGAGTTCCCCATCCCTTTCGGGCCATCACGGACAATATATTACCTATAGTATAAAATATGTACTACGTCAATTTTATTATAATAAATAATAACCGACTTTCTTTGTATTACAAGTTCAAAACTATTATCATCGATAATTAAATTATTATTTACATCTAGGTTCATATTATTTTCGTAATAATGAATTTTATACGTGTAACGACGTACTATAATATAACTATACGTAGTTCAGATGTAAACCATGTGAAGCACCCATTTCTCATTTGGAATCCACTAATAATAGTAAAAATATTTTGAAATTGTTCTTCGTTTGCAATAGTTTTGTGTGTTTCGATCGACATGCATGCAATATACGGGTTTTTAGTTCACAGTCGATAATTAAAATATGTTAGTGCGGATAGTGCAGGCTAATGAACTATATTTTATTAAAGTGTATGTATTTCCAAGCCATCGTGTGTCATTAATTCATTAAGTTTGCAGGCCGACAATACTATGATAATGTGACGCCCTTAACGTATCTTAAACATAAGTACGTAATAAACGTATTTTAAAAAAATGATCGTAGAGTACCTATTAACTATTATAAGTTATGTTTTGAATTTTTCACAACTATATACACCGGCGATATCAATTCTTTTTTATGCGACATTAATATCCCGAGAAACCTTATATCAGAAGACTGATCAAGTCCTGGCTTTTTTTTATCGAATACTAATTTCGTATTCGATTTATCACCGCTTTTATCACGTAAAAACGTGGTTGAATTAATAATTCAAGAATCAATATAACATATTTTTTCAAAATAATTCTGTTATGTTTCCCCCCACAAATAGTTACATAGTTAGTTAGCTATTCGATAATATGCATAATGTAATATATGTAGAGTGCAATGGTATATATAAGCTTAGGATGCTTATACTATACCTGGTTATACTGATTATAATATTTCGTATAGTCACAATTAAATTATCTATGTATATGGATGATTACAAGGCGGTACTGAACTACTGATACGTTCCAGCTTCGTGTAGCTTGCGTTCGTAAGTAACCAATATTTATATAAATGATTCGAATTGGATATTTTTACAGTGAACGTAATAATGTAAACAATATTTAGTACCTATATAGTAACAATATTTTTTCTTGAGAGTTATTGTGCGATTTCTAGTTTATACTCTATACGTTGGATGATTGTACATGATACACTGTATGCTTATGGCCATGTACAAATACACGTTGGGTTTCAAACAAATCTAACGAGTTTTACAACAACTGGACGGTTATTGATTAAGGTTATCTCGGTTTCACTTGAAATCACGTATTAAATAAAAATAAAATACCGGTTGTCGGCCGAAAACTAATTTGCACATGTTTACCTCCTAAGTTAATCATATAAATATATTACACATATAAAAGAGTAGTTTACACTTTTAATTTTGTCTTTTCAAGTCGTATTTGGATTTCGTGTATTGAAATATTACATTATTATTAATTGAATGTATTCCAACTTGAAATGTACAAAAAATTGATTATATATGGGTAATAATAATAATCGTTTATTCGTTTTGTTGTATGAACTCTACCATAATAACTCTGGACTTTATAAGCACTAATAGTTAAAAGTCATATTGATCATGATGTATAAAATATACTAGCATGACATGTACTAGTGCAGAGGTATTCAAACTTTTTCAACACGCAGCTCCTTTAGGTGTTCATAATATTTTTACGGCTCCCAAATTATTATGAAAAAATTGAAACAACACACGGATACAATATGGGAAATATGTTATATGGGTGATAATAACAGTGACTTTAGCACTAGAAATTAAACTTCAAATGGTCGGATAGTAAGGTGTGTCGTTTTCATTTCCATAATGATTGCAAATAATATTTATAATAATTATATAAGACCTAGATATGATGTTGGTTTTCGGTGCTTTTACGCGGCTCTCTTTGCAAACTCTCGCGACGCCCCTGGGAGCCGCGATGCACAGTTTGAATACCTCTGTACTAGTGTATTTGTACTCAAAACAACAGTAAGTGATTAAAATGGAAAAATCATCCAACTTATATTTTGTTTTAAATCATATGTCGAATGCAAACTAAGTAATTACGCTGTTGTTATTATTTTATTCACATTATAAAATCAACGTTGATTGCAAATTCGTTTTTGATTGATTCTTCATTGACACTTCATTGTTTATAACATCTAAACTTTTAACAAATTCGTTTACATAGAGCAAACGATCCAATAAAAGTTATCGTGTTTATTAAACTTTTCAGAACGACTGTTATACCATTTTTTCGAATACATTAGCATTCATTATTGAAGATTTCGTAATTGTATAATATGATAATGCTACAAAGTCAAACTAACCATCCAAAATTCAAATGGCAAAGTAAAAGACAAGTTGGCTGAAATAAATTGTCAAGAAAAAAGTAGAATAATAATATAATTATTTAACAGTTATAATTTCGAAAACAGATGAAATTTAACGCATAACAGTCCGTTCGCCCGCAATGCCATAGGAATAGAAACGCTTTTGTGTTAAACGCAATGAAATCTTATTAAATATTGAAGTGAAATTTTCAATTTAAAACGTTTGCGTATATTTTCAATAAGAGATTTGTTGAATGATATCTTCTACAATAAATATATTGATAAATTATTACGAGCTCGAAACGTATATTTTTGCGGCTGTGGTACTATAATATAATACAATAAAAACTTGATGCATTTACCGTGATTTTGATCGACCTTAGTTGAGCTTCCTAATGTACTAGTTTTCCTGCAAGACGACGGCATATACACGTTTAACATTGAAACTGGTTTATCTAGTATTTATACGACGTATATTATAGTCTGTCACCGAGTGAAATTGAAGTAATAATAAACTAATAATAATGATAATAACATGTATGGTACTTATATATGATGAATTTTAAACTCGGTTCGATTTGTTTAATTTTTTTGAAACACCTTTGCTGTAATAATAAACTAAATAAACATTTCTTTTTATTTCAGAATCATTTACATGTTTTTAACTGTAATAATAATTCATTGAAATTAATATCATGATGTTATGATTCTGGCATGTTTAATATTCGAAACAGCGAGTACCCTTAAAATCGCTCATTATGAAATCACAATCGCTTATTTTATGCATAAAACGATCAGATTTTTATTCGTATTATCAACATACAATGTGCATTAAACTTGGTTTAGGGACTATATAAAATACTGTCATATTCCTGCTTCTATACAAATTAAATCAGTTCAACTGACGTCAGGAAAAATTTACTAGAAATTCTCATGTTATGGGCGTGCGCAGACCTGAATTTCGGGGGGGGGGGGTCCCTACAATTTTTTCGGGACTTTTTCTTAATTTGGGCGCTCTCTTAACAAGACATGCACATATTTTAATAAATTATAATGCACAAATAAGCATTACTTACGGTTTTTTATTTAATATTCTAATATAAAAATGATAAACTTATAATAACATGCACTTATGACTTAAATATAACCAAACTCATTTATAAACAAATTTACTTCAATATTAGAGGCCATTTCTTGTTCTGTGAAAAGTAAAATTAATGATTCCAGACAGTCTTGGGCCATGGTATTTCTTAATTTACTTTTTACAATATTTAATTTTGAAAATACCCGTTCACATGAACAACTAGTAACGGGTATAATGCTGAACATTTGTAGTATTTAAAAAAAACAATTAAAAATATTATATCTACCGGAATCTTTTAACCAATCCAGCCACAATGACACAGATTCATTAGTAGTTCCATTCTTGTCTGTCGAGTTCTTGAGAAGTTTGATTTCAGCAATTAAAGTGTCTGATGAAATTTTCGCAAACTTTTCCAACATGGTAGCTATTTCAGTAGTTAGGTATATTTTAATTTATAATATTTACAACAGCATTTATAAGGCAAATTGTATTTTGTTTAAATCTTAAATTTATTCCAGAAATAAGATCATCTAGTTATGGGTTACTTTTCATATAATGTCAGGTGGGCGCTACAGCCCCCTCAAACATTTTAGCCCTAGTTGCGCCACTGAACGCATTTAAAATGTTGAGGAAGTTAATAACAGTTTCTTTTTCTTMTTCTTCTTGATCGCTATTTCTGTTCATTAATTCAAACAATTCAACTGCCTGTATAAAATGCGTATAAACATTGATTTTAAATACTAATATACGTATAACGTAATCTTAGATCATATACTATGGATGTGGCTCTCGGCCACTCGGCCACTCGGTATATGGTTGTGTATTAGATTTGAAGCCAAAATGACTGAAAACGCTAGAGCCTTGGTTATTACTGCGCATGCGTAAATGACTAATAATAGTATATGATATTATGATCATATTATTTTTCGTGATAATTTATTAACCAATCAGAATTACGCGCATGCGCACAAACAGCGAGTCGGTGTTTTGGGTTATTCTGGCTTCAAGAATTAGCCCGATGGCTTCATCCATTGTATATGATCTTAGAACGTAATATACGGGATCTATAAATAGATAAAAAAAAAAAAATACCGGGTCTTGCGTCCGTTCTGATATTTAAATATTTAGTTATCACTTATCACTTATCAGTTTATTCATTTTATTAGTAATATTACGGTATAATATCATAGACCTTAAGCTATAATGGTCTATGAGTCTATGACGTATAATATGTGGTTAAATCACAGAATAGATTAAACTTACTATTAATCTATTGTGTGGATTTATCATTTATCAAGGGATTTATCTATTAAGTGATTCATGAGTTATCAATTATTATCGTAATCAATAACCACTACACACTTTTTAAAACACCAAGTCAAATGTGAATAAAAATTGTTAGTTTCATCCACGGCTTAAGATAGATTTATCTTAAACCGTGGTTTCGTTTATTATACCTACTATAGATTAAAAATTAGAAAATAAACAAAATGTTTCTTAAAACATTTCTGAAAAGAACGAAATAATTATAATATTTAGTACGTTCCTATTCCTTTAAAAAAGAATGAAATTAATTAATTCCTTCGTTCCTCGGAAATGGAATCCATTCCAGAAATCGTTCCTTAACAACACTGATGGAGTATAACACTATAATCATGTTGTGTTAGGGTTATTTATTTATCCAGTTTAAAATGGTTTTTTATTTAAAATTTTAGGTTTAGATACAAATAATATTTAAAATTTAGTGTCAGCTACTTATACCTACTACCTACTTATATTTATAAATTCTATATGACTCTCTTAAGAACACGAACACGAGAATAACATCTAATAATGGATAGTCCAATAAATTCGTCTTCTATCCATCAATCCATTATAAATTACTCTGCTGATTTTTAATTTTTCTGTGATTAATGCTTATGGTGGTATAAATACATAGATATAGGTACACATTATGTTTAACATATCCCTAAAAGGAGTATCCGCGTGGTGTATGATCATGTGACCTATGCAAGACTGCAAGAGACCAGGTTAGGTTAGGTTATCTAAGCAACAGATAAATCATTTTTAACAAACCTGTATAATATAGTAAAACCTCGATTGTCCGAACTAATATTGGAATCGCACATTCTCGCCTAATTCGAATACCCTAAAGTTTGAATATTGGAAATATAAAATAAAAAATATTTGAAATTATGTATCTATTATTTATTATTTTTATAATTAAATGTTATTATTTTATTATTTTAAATTCATTGTTGTTCATTTTTGTTTTGGACAAAAACGGACTCACCCCTAATAATAATCCAAAAGCGAGAGTTATGATAAATTCCATAAACCGGCCGGATACGAGTTTTCACGTTCGGATTAGAGAACGTTCGAATAATAGAGGTTTCGTATTACGGAGATTCGGATAATCAAAGTTTTATTGAAATATAACGTGTGGTTAAACACTTATTAATTTTTTTTCAATTTATTGGTTCACAAAAAAAAAAAAAAAAAATTTGAACTGTTTAGTTCAAACACAATATTTATAAGCCAATGGGTTGCGGTAGTCACTATTGTTAATCTATAGAATTCGTCAAAATGAATGAACACAATAAAGCATCCGTGGTTTAAAATTAATAAGATTAAAAAAAAAAAAAAACACAACGTTTCTTTATTTGTACTCTTCAGGTCTACAGTATACCTGGTTTAAATACTTATCGTTATATTATTAGATAATAACGTAGGTATGTTGATAAATCACATTTTAACTACAAATTCAACACCGCCACCGCTTGTTTCTTTTTCTGTTAATTAAATCTATTTTTCGATTTTCATTAATGAACCAATATTAATTATTATTTTACATTCAAAAATCAATTTTTAATCTTTAAGCGTGTGTGTTTTATCATTCCAAAAATGATTAATGATAAAATTATCGCTCTTCCGCCAAACAAAATAATAAAATAAAAATAATTTCTAGCTACGGTACTGTTCGATCTCGTATGGTTTTGGATATATAATTTCAAAAACGTTATTCACATTTAAACTGATATATATGTATATTATAAATTTATACAGGCATACGTCGAATGATATTTCAATCACGTCTAATGATTTATTTTCCTATAAAACGAAATGCTTTTTTGACATTTTGATTAAGAGGACGTGATACCCGCATGTGTTGTCTCCGTCTTACAAATGCGTAACATGGTACATTTTTCGCTCAGCAGAACACGTGTAGCTCCGTTAATTTAAAAATTAGAGTGAACTGACCTCTTATAAAATTTAAAGGTAAGATTATTATCTAGACAACCTCATATGCTTTTTATTTTGTATCAAATTTAAAGCGAGTTATGAGTATTTTAAAATTGTGAATTTTTTGTGCATCTTAAAATACTCATAACTTCCTTTAAAATTTAAATATATTAAAAAGCATATGAGGTTGACTAGATAACAATCATACCTTTAAATTTTATAAGAGGTCAATTCACTCTAATTTTTAAGCAAACGGAGCTACACGTGTTCTGCTGAACGTAAAATTTACTCTATAATGCACTTGTAAGACAGAGACAACACATGCGGGTATCACGTCCTCTTAAACGATGATTTTAGCAATAACGTTAATATAATCTTAATTGTTTTTATTTATTTATTTATTTTTTTTTTTTTAGAGCGCTATTTCGTTATTACTATTTTTTGTACACTGCGAAGAAACTGGGCAAGAAAAACTGGACCGTTGCAGATGTATTCAAACACAAGGTTGTAAAGAATACTCCTCACAAAGTGTTGTTTGTGTTTGAAGACAAAGAATGGACTGCTCTGCAGGTTTGTGCAAAATTTTTCCTTCTCTAATATATAACCGTATAAGTATCGTACAAGCCTCAAAGAGGGTAGCAATTTTTTATGGTTATAAAGAACTAAAGAAGTATATAGTGGAATAAAACACTTGTCTAGCACATAAAATTAAAGGTTTAAAAAGGTTTAGGTACTCAGTTTATACACTATAAAAACATAACAAGTTATCTTGTGATAATTCATTGAATATTTTAATTTAATTTATTGTAGTTGTGCATTGTTCCGACAATATACACCACAGACAGTTATATTGTTATAAAACATGCAAGACACAATGTAAATATGAAAATTACTCTGGTTGCTGTAAACATTTTTAATGTAAAAAAGTCTGTGTTATTATTGTCCCGCAGATTTTAAGATCAAAATAATAAGAAGCGTTTAACGCTACATCTTTCATGAAATTAATTGACAAGAATCGATTGGTATCCTTTTGTCTGCTTAGTTCGGTTTTCTTCAAATTAATTAGTATGAATGTTATACTGCCTATTCAAAAAATAGTGATCAATGTTATCAGTGATGTATAAGGCCATAAGTGCCTAATTATAATTTATACTTCTCTCGAGTCTCCCTTATAATTGTGATGTGACTATAATAAAGATCAATACATTTATTATTTTTATTGTACATTCCATACCATCCTTTTACATGTTTCACATTTCAATGACATAATTTAGAAATATAATATATTATTTAAAAAAAGCTTATTTAAAGCAGTTATCTTTGTGAAATGCGAAATTTCTAATTCTCCATTACCTAAGTATTATTCTTGAACGATATAAGACCTTATGTGTAGTTAAAAGCGATTCTAATCTAAGAGATTAAAGAACTAAGTACAGACGTATGGGCAGATTCTTGTTTAATCTGACTAAAATTTGTTTTATCTACGCTAATTCGCAATTCTTTAGTTCTTTACATTCAATAATTTCGTCCTAAATCTGAAGAAAAATGTATAATAATAGTATAACTTTATTACATCACTTGAATTCGTATATATCTGTAAACAAGTTACAATTTGTATCCAGTGCGTGTTTTAATAAAAAACATGGTTTTATTTTTGAATTATTACAATAAATTTTTTGATAAAGTAATTGGCATCGAATTTTGTGTTACTCGAAACTTAACTATACCCAAAAAACTATAAAAATAGACTCTCTTTGGTCATGTAATTAATTTATATTAAAATCAAGGTTGTATATAATTACATTTTGCATTTTTTCTAGGTTTTATAATCGGTGTATAATAGTACTATAGCTTAAGAAATTAACAACCGTATTATTAAATAGTTCAAAGTTAATATTTGACTTCAATTTTTAAATCAAAACTATGCGATAACTATAATAACTTAAAATTAAATTAAAGTTTGTTTTATAATTTAAATTTTTAATGCATAAAGATAATATGTATAATGCACTCATTCCTTTAATGTTATATTAAATATACCTTCAACATACCTTAAACCGTTATAGTTTACTAACTACTAATACCACTTATATTATTCTAATATTATTGTGTCCATTGCAATTGATAATTAATATTGTAGAAATGTTACTCTTTCAAAAATCAACTAATATAAATACACTATATAGAAATCCACAAAATATAGAACTGTAGTATTTATTATCTTCATATTTTTTGGTTGAGTTTTCACATTTTTGAATGACAAAATTCCAAAGTAGAATATTTTTTGGAGTATTTCTACTAATATGATTACATTATACTAGATATATTACCATAGTTTTTTAATCATCTCATTTTAATCTTCGGGCCTACTGCCCATTTCACTGTCTAGCGACTCTAGCCTATACAGCTATATGGTATCTTTAAGTGAGACCATGCCTTGAATAAATACTGCGTGTAATTGTACATATTATTATTATTTTTTTATTATTATTAGTGGGTACTCGTGGTAACTTAGGTCATTGGGTGTGGGATGGTACGGTAGTGGTTATTTTTGTGTATTCGTTTGTTGGTTTGTAAGTTAGTTGGGTTATAGCACGTGTTTGTGTATATGTAGAAAGGATAAGTTGTTAAAAATCTCGGGTGGTCACCCATCCGGGGGCTAGCAACTGCGGCTAATAGACACGTACGCTCTGTGCGTTTCCGCAGATTGAGCGTACGACTGAACCTTACTAAGCCACTGCGCCTGCAAATATTATATTTATATCGTATTAACATGGTTAAAACGTTTTGGAACAGGTTGAAGAATACAGTAACAAAGTGGCCAATGTTATGTTGGACAGAGGTTTCAAGAAGGGCGATGTAGTTGGGCTGCTGATGGAAAACCGACCAGAGTTTGTGGGCATTTGGTTGGGCATGTCCAAAGTGGGTATTGTAAGCGCGTTGATCAACTACAACCAGAGAATGGTGTCGCTGGTCCACTCCATCAAAGTTGCCAACTGTACCAGTTTGATTTATGGGGCTGAATTGTCATCGAGTAAGAATATAGGCAACAGTTATTACGTTTACATGGTGATGTTAAAACAGTTTAAACGGATTATTGTATTTTTACTGATAAATAAATGAAATAAATTTCTTAAGTAAGAAAGCTATAGGTCCATCTACTTTAACCGTGCTTATAAACATATTTTTTTTATAATAGAACGTTGGAGCTCTTAAGTTAAACTAAAATCATTTCTATCGTTAAAAATAATAATTAATTTTCAAGATGTTATCTTTTTAGTCTTTCAAAGCTTTTTTATTAAATATTTTCTGTTTGGTAAAAATAGTATTATATGAAAAAATTATACAATAAATTTCTTTTATTATCTCGCCATTCAACTTGTTTGATTAGGTGCTCGTATTTACTATTTAGTGTAGGTAATAATGTTTTTTTTTATGTGTAAGTCTTCAGAAAATTAGCATGTGTTATGAATAATGACCATGCTAAAGAAAATATTATTAATGTTTTTGTTATATATTTATATATATGTATATAAATATATCTTTATACTATTGTTTTTATATTCAATTACATTATTAGATTCTGAGCGGAATGAGGAATGTATTGATTTTACTATGATGTGTTTTTTTTTGTCTGTCATCACGTTTTGGAGCAGTAAAAATGCTTCGATTTTCGACTTCAATACATTAATTATTAAAGTATTAATCAAAAGTAATTTTTTTTTTTAATAATCGGGATAAACAAACTAAATATTAAGGAAAAACGGGAATTTTTATGCACAATCAGTTTTCGACAAAATCTTTTTTAGATTCTGAACGAAGTGATAAATGTATTGATTTTACAATGATGTGTGTTTTTTTTTTAATGTTTGTTTTTGTGTCTGTAGAGCATAACTAGTCGAAATAATGCTTCAATTTCAAACTTTGGGGATGGTTTCCGATGTAAAAGTGAATATCCTTGGTGCATTATACAGGTGAAAAGTAAACATTTTCCAACAGTTTCCAAAAAAATTGAGAAAAACAAAAAAAAAATAACAGAAAAACGGGAATTTTTACGCAAAACCAGTTTTCGGCCAAATCGATATTTTTATATGGCTGTAACTCAAAAACTAATCACTATAAATACTTGAAATTTTCACCAAATGTTAATGTTAGTGATATCTATATACAGTTTAATTTTCAAAAATCTTCGACTTTTTTTGAGTTATTTATAGACCACTGAAAGTTTCGATTTTTTTGAGAATTTTTTTTTGAAGTGTCAGTAAAAAAATGTTGGACGACCAAAAAACTTGAAAATTTAATACA